ACTAAAAACAATTAGATAGGAACCCCTTGAATTTCGAAAAAAAAGTTGTTAGCAAAGAAAGGAGCCAGATTAACTGTGTGAACATTTACGTGAAGACAGGCAAATTTTAAAAAACCCATCACGAAATCATGATGAGATACATGAACTTACCCATGGCTCCTGGCCGTAAACGTGGATTGGGTCTACGAGGTGGAGTTGGAGCTTAAGTTAACTTTCACGCGTTTTTCTTGACCATACTTGTCACCAAAAGGATAAGGTACTTACGCGGTGTTGGTGATCTAGGAATGATGTCTCTTTCGTAATCAACCGCAATTTTTGTGGGGAAGATAGTCACCGGCTTCGCCACTCTAGAAACGTTTGGTTAGCACATTTTTATCTTACTTCAGCAAAGATGTAGAAAAAAATTCAAGTACAATATTTGAAACAGAATTTTGACGGATAAAAGATTGTAAAAGAACTATCAACTAACTCTGTGGGAACAGCCATACTCGTACCATTCGGAAAGATTCCTGGAAATAGCAGAAACACAATCCACAATTTCAACTATAACGTTGCATTATTTACTTCTTTACTGATTAAAGGTAAATATTTACCTTGACTGACGAATCCCGCAGTACCATGATTAGGCGGGATATTGCCTACAATGACGCTTGGGGGTGGAACCTGAACAACATATAATAACAATAGATATAATAAAGGTGAATCAACTTCTAGGAAACCACTAAAATTCAAAGAAAGAAGAGGAATGAAATGAAATATAAAATATAAATAAAACTGCCTCGGTCTTGTACACTAGGGCAACCACTTTAAAAGAATTAATAAATGGAAAATAAAAGAAGCAAGAGTTAATGTTGACAATCCTGTGAAGATATAGTCTCGGCTGAATTAATCCACACCTGGAACGAAACTGGAGGAGGAGCGGACAATCCTGCAGTTATCTCAGACACTATGTGCTGTGGAAGTGCGGCATATGGATTGATTGTTGGTGGTGGCGTTGAAAATACTGAAAGCTCCATATAGAAACGTGGATGATTCTAGCAAAGTATTATACGTGACTGAAGAAATCACTGCACTTACAATCAGCAGGGAAACCAAATGAATTCTGTACAGCTGCGTTCCCAATAGTTTCCCCAACAGATGTTATTGCTGTAGCATCAGCAGCAGTGGCTTAAAGGCAAGCATAAGAAATGAGCAAACACACACTCATAAGTTGATTCTAGTTCAAACTTTCACCCGAAAAAGAGAAAGGAGAGAGACTGGGAAAAGGAGCAACCAAAAATCGAGGATTAACTGACTCATGATGTTTGCTTTGCATTTTTATCATTTTGTCGGTTCACCTTCAGTTTATC